ACTGCCCATAGGTGTCATATCTATGTGACAGAGCAATACAAGAATGATATCCAGGAAACTGAAGGTACAAGCACCTACATATAACTAGTTGTGCTTGCTAACCCTCATCACACAGAGATGAGACCTCAATGGTGGCCAATCAAAGATATTCCATATGATGACATGTGGGCAGTACATACCCCAGCCCCAATGGATCTTTGTTTACACTGTACTAATTCACTTGCCTTATTACAGGATGACAAAATATGGTGCTGTCTACTCTTTTCCATCAAGTTATTCCCACTTACCCTCTACCCCAACAGGCTTCCTGAGCTCCTAAATGGCATGACTGTTGGCTATAGGTTTCACTTTGACAAGGACATTGTGCTCAAATATGAAGCACTGACAGAGGAGGAAAGGTGTGAAGCATAAAAAGTGCCCTTGGCTCTGTGATGTCCAAAAAAAGTCCTTTTTGGAGAGTGCAGAATTGGATGTTGGTGTCACCATGATGTGTTTGAAGAGGTGATGGTAGCCAACCCTGTAGCAGTCCTTGTGGATAAGGGCAAGCACAAAGTGGTGCACAAGATCTTTGCTGGGCTTCATGTTACAGAGCTTGAGCTTGGTAGCAGTTGCATAGGCAATAAGCTATTGGAGGACATGAGCAGCCACCATCATAATCACTGAAGACAGACACCATGCTGGGTTGTTGGTCATGGTAATGGTGCTCCCCTGTGGCTGACAAATTGATGTTGAATCCTAGGCAGGACCAGGCATATGCAGTGTGGGTAAGGAGGGAAGTAATCAGGGTTTATCAGTAAAAGCAGGAGTGTTTTTTTTTTGGTAAATGACATCTTTTGGGCCAATGCCTCCACTATTTAACCAGACATGTTCCCCACCACACACTTTATGCACTCAGCAAGCAAGAATGCATGCAGGACAACCCTATCACCCTATAGGCCCCCACACCAGGGAACCCTTCACATACATGGTGGGTAGGGGCTTTCCAGAAGCTGGCATGTAGGCTAAAAGTGGAAGGCCATCACAAGGGTTCAAACACCTTACCTAAAGTTATAACCACTAAAAATCATGTGGGCTTCCACCTTAATTCCTGCATGTAACCAGACCAACTCCAGATAATTTTATTTTTCTTCTTTCCTCTGTTGTGCAGCCATCAAGTGTGAAACAGGCTATTAAGGGGCCATCCCGCAGTTTTTTTTAAATGGTGGTGGCGACAGAACGCAATTTGCGTTTGGGAAATTCTTTTGCGTCGACAGGAGGATTTTGCCAGGATAATACACCCATATTCTTCGCGTGCCTTTTGGTGGGTGGTTGGTTCAGTGCCGGGAAAAACACCCACTTTCTCAAACTCCGGCCCCGCCGCCCGGTTATTTCCTTCAAGCGCGATCCAAAAATTTCGGAAACACCAAATTGCGTTCCGTCGCTGCCACTATTTTAAAAAAACTGCTTAAGCCCTGTGGCAGTCTTTTGTGCATGGCCCTAACAACTTAAATGGCTCAGCAGGTGTGTGATGCTCACCTGGAACTGGGCATGAGGTTGATGCCCTTCAGTTCTGGCCTGGTACCTGGCACTGCATGTGCCCAGACAGTTGGAATCTGTTGCAGCAGGAGAAACAGCACCCTCAACCTCATCACCAGCACAAGTTTCTCTGAGCATCACACAAGGTTGGCCACAGCAGCCCCAACAACAGGGACATCATTGGAGAACCTGGGATGAAGACAGAAACACAAGAGGAAGGAAAAACAACACAAAAAAAAAGGCTGTGATTGTTGATGGGGTGATAGAGTCATTGGAAAGAAGATTTTAAATACATATACAACGTTTAGCACGAGCAACCCGACTGAGAGGGCTCAGACTTGTCGAGTTGAATGGCGTCGGTAATGCCGGCAAGATCGACACTGGTGACGAAAATGCGAGATGATGGTGAGATTCTCATCCACGCCTTAGCGGCCGGTACTTAAGGAAATTGGGGGTAACGTACTCCTCCTCTTCCTTCATGGCGTTCTTGGCGATCGTCTGGAAAGCCTGCTCCACGTTAATGGCCTCCTTGGCCGAGGTCTCGAAGTAAGGGATGTTGCCCTTCGACTGACACCAGGTCTGTGCGCGCTTCTGCGAGACCACACGCGAGCTCTCGAGATCGATCTTGTTACCCAGCACGATGAAGGGGAACGTCTCGGGATCGCGAGGACCGGCCTGCACGAGGAATTCCTCACGCCAGCTGTGAAGATTCTCAAAGGTCTTGGCGACGTTGACGTCGAACACCAGCACGCAAGCATCAGCGCCGCGATAGAACGCCACGCCCAAGCTCTGGAATCTCTCCTGACCAGCTGGAAAGTAATGATGAAAATGGCGATTAGAACGTGATAATCACTTTAATCAGATGTAGAATGGAGAAGATTAAGGAACAACGCATTGATGCGTGTTTAAAACAAGAACATGAAGCAAAAGATGAAGATTCAGCGTACCAGTATCCCAAATCTGGAGGGTAACGAGCTTGTCGTCGACCATGACCTCCTTCGTCAAGAAATCGGCGCCGATCGTGGCCTTGTACTGATTGCTGAATTTCTTGTTCACATACTGGTTCATCAAGCTGGTCTTACCGACACCGCTGTCGCCCAAGATGATGATCTTCAACAGAACCTTCTTTCGCGTGGACATGATGGGAAAAAGATGATGATGCTCGTTGCACGTCTTCCGTCTCTTTGAAAGATCTCTGTTTGCCGGTTCGTGCGACCTACTTATGTCCGGCCGAAAGGGCGCCACCGTTCTCCCCCACGTCACCCTTTATGTCGACCTTTGCGCGAGATTTCTTTTTTGCCGACCCTAAGCGAAGTGAGCTTCTGCAAATCGCGGCAAAAGCCTTCTTTCTCGTGGAAGTCGCTTCTCTGGCCACCAGAAGTAGAAGTGAAGAGCAGAAAATAAATATTCTTGAAAAGTCATTTCTCGTTCGGAGACATTTCCTTTGAGTTTCTTTGCTTCTTCCGGAATCTGGAGCTTTTCTTTCTTCGCTTTTGGTGACAAGTCGGCGAAAGGTTGGCGTCACCGATTGCTGGGAAATTAGAGGAAAAGGGGAGCCGACCAAATGGAACACTCCTCCCGGTAGATTCAATCAATCAATTTTTGATAGAACAGCAACACATCATGGGCCGCAGAGGAGGAAGTTCGAGATCATCGGCCAGGCCCGCGTCCAAGCCCACTGCCACGGCAGCACCCGCGAAGAAGGCTGCTCCCCCCGCCACCCAGCAGCGCGCTCAGCCCCCTGCCACCCAGCAGCATGCGCAGACCGCCCCCGCGATGGGTGGTGGCGGCCAGAGCTTCCTGGGCGGCGTCGCCCAGATGGCTGCTGGCTATGCTGTCGGTCACGTCGCCAGCCGCGCCATCGAGAACGTTATTTTCGGCGGACACAACGCCACCCCCGAGCAGATCCAGAAGGCCGAGGAGCAGGTGCAGCAGGGACCTTGCGCGCGCCCCTACGACGGATTCCTCAAGTGCCTGAAGAAGAACGAGGATGACGCCACTGAGTGTGATTGGGCCTACGACATGTTCAAGGAGTGCCAGACCACCAACCGGGCGAACCGCGATTTCGGCTATGGAGGAGAGAGCAAGGAGCAGAGCGCTACCTACTAAGTCTTGCCCCTCGTGTTCTTTACGCTCCATTTTGGTTCCTAATTCATTATAAATAATTGATCGCCACCGAAGATTCAAGGTCCTCCTTCTAAATTTCATCTTTTTCGCTGGGGGCTCGACGATTGCTGCTCCCTCTTCCCCTCGCTGGTCGGTCCGCATCCAAGAACTCTTCCTTGATGCGGTTGAGGTACTCCTCTTGATCTGCGTTCTGAGCCAGTTCCGCGTCGGGGCGCTGCTTGGTGTGCATCTCCTTGTAGTAGTCGGTGACGCTGGCGATTGGCCGGTAGTAGTACTTGGTGTAGACGACGAACAGCCCGATCCCGAGCACCACCGCGAGCAGGATCCACATGCGATCGGTGCGGCTACGGTTGTATCGAACGCCGATGTAGAGCGCCACGAGGTAGCACGCGAGGGCGTACACCGCAAGCAGAATGGCCATCTGCATCTTCGCGACCTCGGCTTCAAAGGCGCCGTAGGCGACGAGAAAAGAGAGACCGGCAATGATCACACATTTGGCGGAGATGTGCAGCTTCTTGGGGTCGAAGATGACAGTCACTACCAGCGTAATCAACACCTCAGCCACATGCAGGGGATTGATGTTCATCTTGCTTTTTCTCAAGTTGTTTTTTTTCATTTTCTGTTGGTCTCTGGCGAATAAACGCAGAAAAGCTGAACCGAACAAACAATAATTGAGACATAAATACATTTTTTTAATCCGCAAACAGAAAACATTCACTGGAAGTGTAGAAAGGGATGGCTGGGAGGCAGCCTATCGTGCAACATGCCGAGCAGCCGCTCGTGCAGATCAGGGAATGGGTAATGAAGCGATTGAAGCACCTGTTGGGCTTCGACGAGGTCGATGGCCTCGTGGATAACCTCATGAAGCTCCAATCTGCCGAGGAGATCGAAAAGTACATCAAGGTACAGAAATCTCAGTGTCCACTGCCCGCCACATTCCCACTCTCGCTCACATTCACTTGCCCCCCCTCTTTAGCCTGGCGGCATTAACGATTGGCTCACCTAACGCAGGACATCCTGGGCACCGAGCGCAAGGCGGTGCAAAAGTTCACCGAGGATCTGATTCAGAAGCGGAAGGACGCCTCGCCCCTCTTCCGCACGGTGCCCATCAGGAAGCTCTCGACCGCCGGACCCTCGGGCCAGGGTCCGAGCGAGCCCAACGTCAAGGTCTACCGCAAGAAGGACGAAGTCGATCCCTAGTACGCCTTCTTCTTCTTCTACTTCCTCTGATGGTGCGCAGTCATGCTAAGCCAAGTGCGCACTACATGACACGCTACGTCGACTACAGCATGGTGAAGAAGAAGAAGAAGCCGGTGAACAAGCCCAAGGATCAGGGCGCGTCGCCGCCGACCCCCAACGCGGGCCAGGCGCAGACTGGCGGTGGCAAGAAGAAGGGCGGTAAGCAACAGGCCGGCGATTCGCTCCAGCTTCCCGGACGCGCCTGGTGCGGGTGCATGGGTATGTACTCAATCCAATTCAGTTCCGCTGGCCGCCGGCGAGTGTCTGGTCATGGCTTCTCACGCAACGCAACGCAACGCAACGGGCGTCTACAGCCGCGCGCCATCCGCTGCTGGGCAACTGCCTGTATTGCGGCAAAATAGTGTGCGCGCAGGAAGGTGTCGGTCCCTGCCTCTTTTGCGGGAATGCGGTCGGCGAAGCGCCCGGCGCCGGCAGCATCTCGCTCTCCAAGCAAGAGGTACCGTGGCATGCCATCACATTCACCTTCACGTTCATTTTCACATTCACATTCACAAAACGATTCGCGCATGA